TTTTTTTTTTTTTTTATTTTCTATCAATTACATATGTACGTCACTGGATTGACGTTTTAACATCGAACTGTTGACGAGTACAACAAGCTTTACGATTAAGAATAAAAGCATACAAGATGGAATTACAGTGTGACTAGTGAAATATATACAAATCGAATTTACCAACAATTAATCCATTCACACTTCGTAAACAACGCTTCACTCGTACACGATTACATCAGCCATGCAGCATTTATCGAGTTCAGCATCGAGTTCAAAATCGAAAACCGAAAAGGCGATCAAGTGTACCGCTACCTAACCTTCTTGAAACGTAAAACATGCAAATGTTCTCCCCTAACCTTTCTTTCCGCCACTATCTTACCTACCATGTTCATATTCGTAAAAATCCGTAAAATGTGTTCCGGATCGTTCTCTTTGATGACCAATAGATAAAATGTCCCCACGTCCGATAATATATCGGGAATTTTAGAAAACACTCGCTCCATAACCTTTCTACCGTTCGTACCGCCTGCCCAAGCTTTAAACAAAATCTGTTTGTTCGAAATTTCTTCGTCGCTCGTTACCACGTACGGTGGATTAAATACTACGATATCAAATACACGATCGCTACGTATGCAGCTTAATAAATCCATTCGTACGCTATCTACCTCTACTAAATTCCGTACAGCAGTTCTTTTCGTAATTTTACAAGCGTCCGTATTAATATCGACCGCCATGTGGAAAGGCTGACAGTGTTCTTTCAACGCCATTGCCAGTGCTGCAATTACTATACCGGATCCACTACCTATCTCTAAACACATTGTAGGTTTTACAGCTTTTAGGATCTCTAAATCTGCTTCTAAGACATCTATCAAGAGGAAAGAATCCTCCGCAGGTTCGTAAACTGTCTCCAAGTCCTTGTCCGACAACTTAACTATCGGTGTATTCATGATACACCGGTGGGAAATATAAAAGAATCGTATAAAGTCTTTTCCATAGTTATACCTATGTTAAATCACCACTGTAGCTTATACTTGTGGATCCTTGGCTGGATCGGCTTCTTTCTCCACTTCCACTTGTTCTTCTTTATCGGTAATATTGGAGGTATTGCTGTACAAAGAACTATGATCCAATAAAGCTTTCCTCTTTGCTGTATTTTTCTCCACCCCTTGGTGCATCTTATTCAATACGTCTTGTGTACTTTGTAAGATATTACCGACAATGGTGATTTTGCGTTTGGCGTTTATCAGCTTCTTGATGTAAGAATCTATTTCCAACGGGCACTGTAAGGCTTCGTTGATCATCTGCAAATCTTCCGACAAAGATTCGATCCGTTGCTTCAGTTCTATTTGGCATATCCTATGCGAAAATGAATTTGTGCGTAGATAAGATAAGTCGAGGGACAGGTAGCGATCGATTTCACGACAACGTACGATGCAAAAGTTACGTTTTCACTTTTAACACAATACAATTGACCTTCGGAATATCGAATAGCAAATGAATATTTACGTCTCCATTGAAGTCCACGTATAGGAAGAAAGTATCGCATACCTCGTGGCACGAATTCGTTCGTCTAACTGATCGACTGTAGGCTTCAGAAGGCTCATGAGACCTTCCGTCAAAGCATCTCTCGTTGGATTTTCACAAAAATCGTCTATCTTGTCATCGATGGATGTATTGTCACTCGCCGTGTCCACATCCATGTTATGTTTATTTCTACACTCCAGTCTTTCCGTCGTTTCTCAGATGGCACTACTTACCGTCCAAAGTCGTCGTATGTACAGTGAGTATCGTTAATCTTTACCAAATCACAAAACCTAGCCCAACGCGCAACGACGGTATGTCGGTATGTGAAATGGCCTACGATGCGTACGACGCCATTTCACACAGAACCACCGCCGGTATGCGTTTGCGTTAGTTCTAGGGATTCGGCAAAGTCGACGAAACTCACTGTACGTCGATTAAATTCGTCAAGCCTGACAGTTGGTTAACTCGAAATCTAGGGAAAATTTGTACGTTATTTCGAAAGGTTTGCAACGGTGCGCGAATAATTCTCACACTAGTACTTTCTTCCATAAAAGTATGGTCACGTTCAAGATTTCGTTGATACAAGTTTGACAGTGGTAATAGGTTAGAATGAAATTATCACCCAGTTACATATGTATATCGATAAAACAATTTACTTTTAACGTCTACTTTTGGTTGCACAATAAAATTTGATATCAAACATTCTGCGTCGAGTGTACAATCGGATAAAACTTCTACATGACTTAAACGTTATTTGTGGAAAAACATGTGTCAACGTAATTATAAATTCCGTAGATGTAAATGAAGTGAATTAACGTACATATGCGTATGCTGCAAAAAGTAGGTGTTTATCGCTTAAAACTGCACGCATCTGAAAAGAATTTTTTACGCTAGTACTTGTTACTTGACGAAATGTTTGCGATTTCTCAGTTACACGTTATATATGTACATACAAAGTTTGTAGCGATATAATACGCATCGATAGCCTATAAATGAAAAAGACGAAATCGTACTTCGGCGAATATATGATACGTGGATACTATGTATGTATATATATATATTTTGATGCGTCATATATTTAAATTACACAACACACAAATTACAGCGATTTTTAAACATTATGAACAAAATTGTAGGAAATCGTGTAGGAGAATGCATGAAATTTCGTCGCACCTGCGCTCAATTTTCTATTTCGGTAAATGAGGTATATCTGTATTAAGATTAATATCGGCCTAGCAAACAAAATTGATCGAAGATCATGCGTGGAAGGAGTGTGTGAAAAAATAGATGAGGTAATGCGGGTTAAGAAATCGCGAAGCAGGTTTAACCCTTTATCTTGAAAGGTGAAAGCGGGAACGAAAATATGTAATAATTGGAAGAACACTGAGATACGAAAGTTCGGTAAGGTGAAGAATTTTCGACGTTTACCGAATAGCTTGGAAGGAAGTGAATCGCGAGCGACGTTTACTCGAGAGCGTGGACGAACTAACGAGAAAGTGAGGGCGGAATATGTAGACCGGTGTGAACGTGTTATTCCATTTTGTTTACGTTGCCGAAAACGGGTCACGTGGTATAGGAAGCGCATGCGCACCTGTGATCGTTGGCCTTTCGCGTTCGAGCTCTATGGCCG